CGAAAGATATGCTATTTCAGAAACCACCGATACCTTGGAAAGCAATCCTGAAATCAAAAGCAGTTTGGGGTCTCTGGGCTGGACATTTTGCAGCTGACTGGGGTGCATATACAATGGCTGCCGGCTTACCGCTATTCCTGAACGATGTTTTGGGTTTACAATTGACAGAGGTAAGTTGAAACGAAGTGGAATGAACGTTATTCAATGTGTCGTTGAAAGTTTCAATCGTATGAAGTGCGCTCAAAATTTTAGCAAAAATATCAGTTGATAATATCTCGAATTAATATTATGTGGTTATGTCAGCTGTGTATTGAAAATTAACTTGAGTTCGAACCAAATTCGTGAATGATTCCATCGTTTTAGATATGCGTCAAGGTAACTGATAATATTTTCAGATGGGTTTCTTATCAGCGATACCATATTTGGCCTATTTCGTGGTGATCAACGTCTCTACCTTCGCAGCTGACGCAATACGAAATGCCGCCTGGATGACGACACTTAATGTCCGACGCGCTGCTATGATTATTGGTTCGTCCTTTCCTATTTCAGATATTTCCATAATCCATCTTATAGTGGCGATTAATTGCAACTTATAAACGAATGAACGTATTGTTCCGAATGCATTGCTTCCATGTTTGCTTCCGAATGCAACGTATTGTTTCATACTTTTGATCCCACTTCCGAATGCATTGCTTCCATGCGGTTATGTTGAATATAATGGTAAAAGTGTAATCAAAATTTTGGAAGATAGTCTGAAGTGAATTCATCTACTCGGTGACCATCCACTCGTAATATGGTTGATGAGTTCGTTTCGCAATTGAAGCCACAGGAAATCTACATATGCTTGAAAATTCCAACTGATTGTGAGCAATTAATGAGTTTTGGACGCAATTGGATTAGCCAAACTGATTAGAGCATGTTTGGTGTGGTGAGCTTGCAAATGTTCAAAAAAAAACAAAACTGATTACGCCTTACGGCTATTCAGCTCTTGGAAGTCAAGCCGTTTTCCTGGTGGCGTGCGGTTTTTGTGGATGTGGCCAACAGGCGCTGGTGATTGTTTTCTTGACGCTCGGAATTGGCCTTTCGGGAGCGTCCTATGCTGGATTCGTGGTGAATTATCTGGACATTGCGCCTACTTTCGCCGGACCGCTACTCGGAACCGGTCAAACAGTATCATGTATTGCCGGCATCTTATGTCCAATCATCATCGGTTGGTTAACACCTCAGGTATGATTCAGCAAAAAATTTTTTCCTTTTTAAAGTTGTAAAATTATCCCACCAGATGTAAAAACGTCTGTTGACTGGATTTCTCTTAGCCAGGTGAAATTTCGACAAGAAAATCAAAGTGACAACGACGCGAGAGATCAGTACAGGAATAGAGAGGGCATATTTTCGCTCACTGCAAAGTTCATCGGTTATTGGAGGAATCGTACTGTTCATAAACTTGAGGGCGCAATAGCTTTTAGATTGGGATCTACAGCTTGACTGGTATCTGTAATCATTTTAAACACAGATATCATAATATCATTCGAAACTTCGGTACTTGCCGGCACAGAGAATGCTATGAAACAAGCGTATGGTTGCTATGCAAAAAATTATGCAATCATAATCAAGAAATATTCTGATTATAAG